CCGAAACATCAGCTTTCCTGCTCCTCTGATGCTGCTTGGCCTGCTGTGTTCATCCAGCTCTACACCTTGTTATCTCATAATCAAAAAAATGTTGTTAGTGTTACATTCCTACAACCAAAGGTAATATACTAAGAACAATGAGTTATCAACTACTATTGAGTGAAAACTAACAGAGGCAACATGATGAAATATGAGTTCCTGAGCGAGATCAAATTCAGATTGACAGGTTGATAAAAAGGAAACTTCACAAATTACACATACTTTATAAAACTTTATGGACATCTGATACTAAAAATGGAAAACTAACTATGACAAATGAATGCATTACAATGGTCAGGTTGAAAATAAATTACTCACTTAGCTAGACAGTTAGAGTGTTGTGCAGTATGAATATAATCAAACAGATTCAACCCCTATATTGGCTACAGTAGATCAAGCCTTTCTCCTGTCTTGCACTATGCTTCATGTAGGTGGTGTCCCTCAAGGCATGTACCCAAATGTCACCATGTCAAGATACCTATTGAATTTTCTGAACTACAGCTGATTTCCAATGAGTGGCACTATGTATTTCTCTATTTTGTAGAGGATTGCTTCAGAATTATTGAGGACCATTTTGAACCAGCATTTTCTGTTCCAAAATCATGTTACATGAATGTGTGTATTGCACAAAAGCAAAGAATAATCAATTTTGGTAAAAGTCTGGTAAATTATCATAGCAGAATTTTGCCCACCCCCTCGCCACCCCAAGGAGATTAAGCAGTAAAATCATTTCCCTTTACTGATGCTGTGGCTGTGGCTACTAGCTATTTTAAATACGAGAAGCTCCTGATAATGGTCTTTTTTTAAACCAGGTCATTAGCAAAAGATGACACCCCACAATATGCAGAGGCCAACAGCTCAATGGAGCCCATTTGGAGTGCAGGAGATTGTATTATCAAAGCAGGGAATACAGTTCCCAGAGGCGTTTTCCTGCCAAATTTCTTCCATCAGCCAAAGCCCTCCAGGTGGCGCTGTTGGATTTGTAGCCCTGTGATTGGCCTGGTCATTTGTGGAATTGGGGTTGGCGTTGGAGGTGAGGATAAAGAGCCCTAATGGCAGCCACCATTTGCTGATGGCCCCTAAAATTGAATGGGGAACCTGTCTATCAACCTACTGTGGTATGGTTTTTGGGGCATCAGGACAATCCTGCCTCATCTGTTTCTGTTTCTATTTATCAATGAACAACTAAAGTGAGCAGTTAGTACCTCCACTTATAAGTAGATTTACAGCAAAAGTGAGAACACAAGTAAACACTGCGTGCTCGGAATTTACAAACACCAGTCCTACAGCTGCATGAAAAGGAAGGTCTTAATTTATAGCAAGCTTAAGTATCAACACACAACCAATTCAAACATTCCTTCGGCAGCACTGGTTCTCAACAATGCATTGGGAAGCATTTTGTATGACAAGCATCTGACAGCCATTTGGAGCGAGATAAAACAATTGACAGTATTCATTGGAAATTTGATCTATATTTATTTTAAAATATTTTATCAGAGCTGTAAGTCACATGAAATTTCCTGCAATGATACAAGAAGTTACTATTTCACTCCCTGACCCCTGGTGGTGAATTTAAACCAGCAATGATTGACTGGCCTCAGAAGGCAGGGACCTGTTCTGGAATATTTGGATAGAAAGGCCTGTTTTGGGTTTTACTTTGTTTGATGGGTTTATACTGAAATGAACAGTATGAATATACAAATCAGCTTTCAGAGGGAATCCACATTATTGTTTTGTCACCCAAACTGTGTCTGATTTTGAGCTGTAGATGATAATCAGTTTCAAACTGAGCTTGTTGCACAAATATTGATATATTAATATGTCAGGGAAAACAGCTAACATCAGGGAACATGAAATTCTGTCATCACCTTATTTCATATTTCAATCAAACTTTAGGGTCACAGAACATGTCAGTAAAAATTGAGAACTGTTTTTATCTCATGACGTTGATACTTAAGCTTACTGTAAATTAAGACCTTCCTTTCCATGCAGCTGTAGAACTGGTGTTTGTAAATTCCGAGCACGCAGTGTTTACTTGTCTATGTCCATTATGATCAAGGTATATGTTACATTGTTACCTTTGATATAGGAAAACGGGCTGGATGATTGAATACAAATTCTTAGCAATGTAGCTGTGCACTGTCAACCATCAACACCATTCTGTCATTGTCTGATTGACAGTGATGATCAAAACATTCTTAACTCAGCAATTGTCTGAATGCCTTTGATTCCAATGAGGGCAGACTCAATTGCTCAGATTTTTTTGCTAAAATTAATGGAAAGTTAAATATATCCACCATTTTAAAAAACCTTGAAAAAAATACAGGGAATTGCAAATCAACACAAATTGCTACAATTAGTTGTTAGCAATGAAAAAATAGGATATAGTTGTTAACCACACTGTGGGAGTCAAGAAATTGCTGAGTGTACCATGAACGCCACAGAAATGCTGTAGATTTTAAGGATTCTATTTTGTGTCATACAGACCCTGTTAATGAGGCATTTAACAGTCCCATGGAAACTCAACTCTCAAAATCCAGAAAGGGAACAAATGAAACTGTAGAAATCTCACTTGACAGATACAAAATTGCTTAGATTTTTAATACTTTTTCTTCTTGGACTTTGCCATTTTTCACTCTTTTAAATCTTTTGTATAGTCTGGTTTTCTTTCTAAATTTAACAATAACTCAAGCTATTTCCTTCTCTGCTATTTCTCCATTTTGTTTTCTGTTCTTGAATGTTTTGTTTCAGAAGATACACTGCTCAGTCATTGTTCATCAAGATCCAAGATGCTGCATCATTAACTGCTCATACCTGCATAAGCTTGCAATACAAAAATAGTACAATCTGAACGGTAACAAGGACAGGAAAGCAACTAACTTCTTCACTTACTGCTGGACTGCTCTGTGGTAGCACTGGTTAATGGAATTTTAATGTTTCACTTGGGTAAGGAGTTCTATGATACAGCAAATTAAACCCTGCAGTTATTTGTTTCCATTTCAGAAAAAAAAAAATCAAAATTCAAGCAGCTGTCTTTGTTTTCCCTAACCTTTTCAGAGGTTATAGTGACTTTACACTTTACAGTCACACCTTTAATTCCTTGGTGTTCTTCAAACTTTCCAATAATGGGATTCTGTGTTAGTTTTGAGTTGTTTTAAGCTAATGGCCACATCAAAAATTTATATATCATTCATAATGTTTATATACTTCAAGTTATCATGTCCAATGTATTTATCTTACTGCCAGTGAAAACACTCTAATAAACTCTACAGAAAGAAAAACATTGTAAATTTCTAGACATCTATATTAAATTCTACACTATAATAATGATGTATGCTTTAGGTAGGTCATTAGGCTGTCAGTAGGTCCTAGCAGTGTCTCTATCAAAGGACAGAAGAAAATTGGTGAATTAAGCAAATGCTGATCCAGCTTTATGATGTATAAGTATTTTTATTGTCCTAAATCCTTGTGCCAGTGAAAACAAACTGTAAACTCTTGTGTCCAAAGTTTTCCAATCCTGCATGCTCCAGTCTGTGATTTTAACTAGAACACTGTGGACTGGAGATTACAGATTCAAAACAAGCTAGACTGTATTCAGAGGTAGTGAATAAAAGTGAATGAATGGATGTGGTGCTTCACTAATCTTAAATTTTCCTTTCATGTAGGTCCACCAGGTTGAAATTAACCTATTGAAATTTGAAGATAAAGCTTTTGCAACAATTGAAGAACGTGTTTTTGTATCCTAGATAGTTCTGTATTGTTTGACCGATCACACATCAATGAGAAGCAATCTGCATTTATACACAAATTAGTAATTCTGCAATTACATTGGTTCTCCAAACTCTTAAAACACTTTAGGACATAATGCAACCAGAACGAAAATAGTTTGGCACAAACGTTAATTAGTTTATCCTGTCATGAGAAGAACTTTCTGTGATCAATAAGTTGAGACAAAGATCTTTTGTAAATGTCCAATTTTGTACAGAAATATGCATTCTAATCTTATGTTGTGAAGTCTGAAAAGTTTGCACAGATTTGTTTTTCTGTGCCTAGAATTCCTATTGTCAATATCACAATCATTTTGAGTGTGTCAAATTATTTCAAAATGTAGTTAGTCAACACAACTGGATAGTCAGTTGTCATATTTAAAAGTAGCAAAGTACCACAACATCATCTTGATAATCAAAAAGGTACCTGTAGTCAAATTTGTTGCTGCAAAATAATATCACACTAGGAGTGGTCTTTGTTCACTGTTGCACACACTAAGTCTGAGAATATGATCTGTAGCTCCATCATCTTAATGTTGGTCTCTCTCTCTCTGTGCATCTGTCTCTCTCCTCATTTTTCAATTTTGGCTCTATCTGGCCAGTCTTGATTCTCTCAATCTCCCCCTTCTTTCTATTGAGATGTGTCAAGACAAAAAATCTATACGTGACAATTTGCAGTGACAGCGATAGTGACAGAGAACTCATTGGGGCTACCTTTCCATTCTCTGTTACCCATTATTTATGCTTCCCTTCCCATCTTCCCATTCCCAATGCATCATCCAATTGCGTGCTACCCAACTTAACACTGAATCTGCACAATTTTCTTCAGCTGCATTATTAGTCCAGGTTTTTGTGAAAGGCTGAGGTCTGGAAGAAAATTGATGTAAAAATTTTGGTAAAAATCCAATAGATAAACATAAGTGAAACTGCTAACTTGTCAATTGGAGGAATTGATTGAGCAGAAGTGTTATCTTCAGATTATTAAATATTTTGGGGACCAATGAGCATTAATTAACACACTTCTTTATTCAGCTTGAAAAAAGATGAAATTTAAAAAAGGACATGGAAAAAAAGAAAACAGGCAATAAATACACTGTTAATTATTATGGCGTTCTACTAAATCATAAAACCTTTCAATATTCTCATCTCAAATCTTGACCTGTGCTACGATATCTGGTTTCAGTCTGTATATGCGAATCAGCCATAGTGCTGTAGAATGGTGAAAGATTTAGACAGACAGACAGAAGGTTCACAATTGTTTTCCATTGCCGCTTTTCGACTGTGGGTGTGTTTGTGTGTGTGTGTATGTGTTTATGTTACATGTTTGATTGCAGGAAGATGCATAGAAACTGATCTCTGTTGTTTCTACAGTTGACACTCATTTCCTTGCCTTGCGCATATACAATACCTCTGTAAATTAAGTATGAATGGATTGCCACAGCATTATAGCAGTTTAGAACTGTTGACCTCAGCAGCAAGGCAATGAAGAAAATCAAATTTTAAAACCACTGGAATGCATCATGAGGCATACTTTGGAATGGAAAATATAATATGTTAACATATTATCTTGGATTTTAAACTAGTGGCTGTAGGGAGGGAGTGTTCATTGACCTCCTATCCGTGCCAAATTGGTGGAAATTCCAAATTAGTCATCTAAGCAACCAGAAGGGGCGTTGGGACCTTCTTCCCTGGATGTTTGTCCTCATCTTTCCCAGTGATTTCAATGGGAATTTGAGAGAACTCTGAAGGAATATTTTCTGCTTTCCCATAATGTAAGCTAAACATTTACTGATTGAGAAATATCTAATAAAAAGAAAATACCTCAAAAAAACTGAGTAAATTAAATTAATAGAAATGATAAGAAATAAATGAATTCTTCAACACCTTTGTTGTGGCCAAATTTACTTAATGTAAAGAGTGAGCATTGAGATATTTCAAATATTAGCTGTTCTGTTAATTTGTTCAGTCATTTGGAAGTTTTGCATAACTCTAAAGGCCAGATCAATCTGAAGATGTCTCAATGCTGCACAGTATTTTGTAATTTTAATAAACTGTGCCTGCACACAGTAATAGTATATCTTCGTAGTAGTTTGTGAATTAAGTTATCACCTTTAGAATAACATAAAAACAATGGATTTTCAATTCACGTGCATTGATTTAGCAATTTATGTGATAAATGAATGTCCTATCAAAAACACAAAACAATTATTTGCTTGAAGTGAGATAAGTCAAATGCTTAGAAAGTGATTTCTATTTTACCTACATTTTAACAATATCAAGCCACTGCTGACTAAATATTTGAAATAAACATACATACCTGCTATGTTTCTTTAATGGCTGAAATGCAATACATTGATAAATCTTACCTTTCAGAAGGGACAATGCCCAAAGAATTAGAAATATGGGATAATTCATTTCAATGGTTTAAGAATGGAAAGGATTGACATCTGAATGAGTCCTGCTAACTACTGAGTGTTCAATTTCACAATTCATTTTATACCTTGTCTTTGATGAGCCACATTAGAATGGTATGAGGAAATTAATGTTGGCATGTAATTATTCTCAAATCAACAGGTAGGTTAACTGTTTGAGGACTGAAAGAATTCAAATGCAGAAAAAATGCTGGGTATTTAAGAATCCATGGATTTTGATTTTACAAGGATAATACAGCAATTTTCCTGACAAAGAAACACAGATACGTGCAATTTGCATTTTGATAGCACTTCTAATGCAAAATAAAACTAAGATCCTTCACAAATTAAGTCAGATGAGGACCAAGCTCTAAACAATGAGGTTTGAAAAAGGAAGAAAGGTAAAGGGTTAATGGAGAGGAAAAGTCAAGAGTTGGGGCAGCTTGCAGCCCTGCCACTAGGAGTGAGAAGGCTGCAGGAGGTAAAAGCAAGAGGGAAGCATAAGGTTGTGTAGAGATTTGAAAGTGAGAATGAGGAGTTTAAACAATAAACTGAGGGATAGGAAGCCCACATGGGGTTCACATCGATGAGGAAAGGACAGATGAATAAGTAAATCTTACCACAGGAAAGGTTGCTGCATTTTACACCAGGTAGGGTTTATGAAAAAGGGAAGCTAGGAAGTGAGAATATCAAAATAATTGATTTTGGAGATGAGAAAATATTGCTCAGTAAGATCAGAGTCAAATGGAACTTCTTATTGGCTAGATTCACTGTAGTGCTAAGAGTCAACAATTAACGGATTAGATTTCACCAAGGAATTCTGTAGGAAAAGGAAGAAAGTGTGAAAGTAACAATACTTGTCCAAGAATATTGGAGAAAATTAAGCAGCAATCTGAGTAGAAGCTTTTCAGGTTGATGAAAGAGAAAGTGGCTTTCCCTGAAAAAAGACAGCAAATCAGCCGATATGGAAGCCAACGGGAGGAACTCAGTACTTAGAAGCTGCAAAGAGTGACATTGAAAAGTTAGCAGGTGAGTCTGCAGGAGGAATGATCAAGATGTTGACATTCAGGAAAAGATGCAAGAGAGAAAGAGAAAAGACTGAGTATAGAGATGGTGAGAGACATGGGGGGCAATGTTTCCTCTCATCCATATGGGTGTGTGGACACCTAGAAAATCAGGAATCTGCTATCCAGTGAACAATCAATCTACACAAAAGCAATCAACTCCATAAGGTTTGCAGAACAGCTTGTGCAGATTGTGCAGTAGCAAGCGAGTAGTGCATAAAAACAAAAATGGAAAGTGTTGGAGAAACTTAGCAGCCACTGCCTGATTGTTATATGGTTTGTTTGGCCTTCACAATGAAGAGGCAGCAGGGGTCTTTTACCAGCTCACTAGCTAGATAAAATGAACTCTGAGTTCAAAAGTTTTGGCCCTGCTTGTGCACAAACAGAAAGATTGGGTTTGGATGCAAATTGCTAGATGGGCTGGGACTTGTTTCTCCGGAGATGAAGTTGAGAGGCGGCCTTATAGAAGCTTATAAAGTAATGAGGGGTATAGATAGAGTTAACGGTAGTTGTCTTTTGCCTAGGATGGGTGATTTCAAGACCAGGTGGCATGCTTTTAAGGTGAGAGGAGAGAGATTTAAAAAAGACATGAGGGGCAATTTTTTTACATGCTCATGTGTAGAATGAATTTCCAGGGGAAGTGGTGGATGTGGGCACAATTCCAACAATTAAACACATTTTGATAAGTACATGAATAAGAAATGTTTGGAGGGATATGGATCAGGAGCTGACAGATGGGATTAGTTTAGTTGTCTGTTTCTGTGCTATATGACTATGACTGTGAGTGATCATAGAGGGAACTGCACAGATGAATTTATTATCCTAAAGTATAATTTAAATAAATAGTAACTATATAGTAACTATGAGAGTATGTTCTCCTTCACCTTTTTCATTTATTGCCCTTTTTAATATGTAAGTTCTGCCATTTTATATGTCTCTAAATTAAGCACCTGTATGTGTTGATATGAACATTTTAAATGGGAGGCACCTGAGAGCAGGTTAAGTAAATTAACCTTGGATTTCCTTTCACTCCCTTTGAGGAACACTTTCTTTCTCTTGGCATTCTACAAAGTTCACAAATTATAGATTTGATTTCCTGAACAAAGGCACAACTTGATTCACTAATGTTCTGAATTAATAATTAGCTCATCATGTCTTTAATATTTTTAAGTGGTTAACTAGCTTAAGTGATGCAACGAAGCACAGAATTTATTTGCACTATACTCTATCATTACATGATTCAAAATAGTCAACTAAATTACCCTTCAAAAATAATTCGATCTTTTGAATGGAGGTGAAAGATTCAAACCACACCCGACCTGCCTTGAAGGAGTGAAAGAAGAAAGAACATTTCATGTTATGAATTTCATTTCTAACTTCAAAGTGATAGTGTTTTGGCCCATGGTTTAGTTTGCTTTTATCATTTCCAAAGTAATAACTTTAAAACATACAAAATAAATAAGTTACTCCTTTCTATGAAATATTTGATTGGTCATGTTTCTAAACTAACACGACAGAAGAAATAAATTGGTTGCACTTGGAAATTTTCAGGTATCTAAGGCTGTTTTTTTAGTGCCAGAATTTTCCTATTATTCCCCTCAATTACTTTTCCATTGACCCCTGCAAAGTTACAAGATTAACATCCACCCTTTATGAAGAAATTTGCAATTGTCAGTGTGCCAGGAACAGTTAGCATATTTTCTATATATCCTCTTGTTATGAAAAATGTAAATATGCAAAGCCACACATAGAGCAGCAATTGCTTGATCAGTAAATTTGCAGATGATATAAAAGGTGGTGGGGCGACAAATAGTGAGGAGGCTACCATTAGATCACAGGAGGATGTAGATGGGTTGGTCAGATGTGCTGATCAGTGGCAAATGGAATTCAATCTGGGTAAGTGTGAGGTGGTGCATTAGAACAGGACAAACAAAGCAAGGGAATACATAATGAATAGTAGGACCCTGGAAACACTGAGGATCTGTGGGACCTTGAAGTGCTTAGTCGCCAGTCCTTTAAGATTGTGAAACAAGTAGATGAAGAGATTAAGAGGACATATGGGATACCTGCCTTTACCAGCCAAGGCATATAAGTTAAGAATAGGGAGGTTATGCTGGAACTGTATAAAACATTGGTTCAGCCACAGGTAAGGTAGTGTGTGCAGTTCTGGAATCCTCATTACAGGAGAGATGTGATTGCACTGGAGAGGATGCAAAGATTTATCAGGATGTTTCCTGGGCTGGTCTGTTTTAGTTATGAAGAAAATTGGATACATGATTGGGATGTGTTAAACTATGAGGGGCACAGATAGCATGGACAGGAAGTAACTTTTCCTCTTCAGAGAAAGATCAAGGACCAGAGGGCATAGATTTAAGGTTAGGGGTAGAAGGTTTATAAGGGATGTGAAGAAAACTTCCTTCATCCTGTGGATTGTGGGCATCTGGAACCTCACTGTCTGTACGAGTGGTACAGGGGGGAACCTTCATAAGATGCAAATCCCAACGAAATCTTGGATCATGCCATTTGAATAAAAGATGAAGAAAATAGTAAGCAGATCTTCCAAATATCCACATGCTAAATGGGACAAACCAAAAGGAGAGTGTGCACTAGAGATTATGTAGAAAGACAGAGGGTCGAGAAAATTCTGTGGAAAACATACAGACGCTGGTGTTGCTCTCCTTGTTAGAGAATTAGTTAAGGGAAGATTTAATAGAGATGTTCAAACTTATGAATGATTTTGATAAAGCAGGAAAAGATAAACTGTTTCCATTCAAAGCATAGTATATAAACAAAGACAATAGATTTATACAAATTTGCAAAACAATTTAGACAGATGAGAATTATCATATTAAAATAACAGATGAATTTTCCCATTTTGAGTTAAAGAGTTTTGTTGAGTGGGATTTATGGTGGGTGGTCCACCATGGCTTGAATCAACCTCTCCTGTGCAGTCTTCCAATCTTTATTCGTTTTTGATTCAAGTTCCGCGATGCATTGTTCTGCCGTGCTTCTTGGATTCCCTTCCCTTCAAATCCTGATCCCCATTTTCATCTTTATTCTCAAAATAATTGCTGTTGTTACCCTGGTTTTCTTCTGCATATGAGACATGCCCTCTTTATCAGCTCCAGTTGTGAAAAGTGCATAATGCCACAATGATGTGATGCACTATGGCTAGGCTGTCCAGCAAGTCTCCACTGCTATTGAAGCCTAATTTTAATAAAACCGACAGTATGTGCCACTATGGCCCTGGTGGGAGCACGAGCAGTATTGTAATTTAATTCTGTGTCAGTCTGAGGGTTTGTGAAAGTGTCAAGAGCCCTATTTGGAGGGGGTATCTCTTGTCTCCCAGCATGCATGTCCCAAAGATCATGGAAGGAGACCGGAACCCCTAAGTTTTCCAGTCTGCAAGAGTCATGACAGCTTCCAGGAAATCTGCCTCAGACCTCCAAAATCTGACATCAATGCTCACGTATAATTTGAGCGCTGATGGAGTAAAAGTCTTTTCTGTTGGTGTAAAGGTATTTCTGAAGCCATGTGGGGGCTGTCTATGAAACTATAAATCTGGGGGATACCAGCAACAGTGGAGTATTCCCATTGCCCAGGCTGTTTCACTGTCATCATCACAGGAGAAGGATGTAGGGTGTAGTCTGGAGAAAATGACATCAGTAACATCTCAGATGCATGTGTGCATCAAGAACATAAGTACTAGGAGCAAGGGGAGGCAATTCAGCCCCTTGAGCCTTGATACAATCTCATTTTGGCCTCAATTCAACTTTCCTGCCTAAACCCCATAACCTTTCAATTTATTACTAAGAAAAAATCTGGCTTTCTCCTTCTCAATTTATTCAATGTCCCAGCATCTACCATACTCTGGGGCAGTGAAGTCCACATATTCATTGAGAGAAGTAATTTTTCCTCATCTATTTTTTAAATCTGCTACCCCTTATCCTAAAGTTATGACCTCTCATCTAGATTGCCCCATGTA